TTCAAAAGTTCTCATCTGCCTATTCATGAAAGTTCTCTCCGCATAAATACTTAAAAAATGGGTACAACAATATTTGATCTAGTATGTACATTTACAGATTGAAATTTGAGAGAAATTTCTCTTAAATATGTGCAAAAAATCAAACTGTTCCTCTTCTGGAGTGTACTACTTGGTCTCACTCTTGCTATTTGTTTAGGACGTTCAAATGCCCTGCTGTAAGAGCCATCTAAAGTACAATTCCCATGGACAGAAATGCTGCACCAAGTAGATGAGACCATGATGCAGAAATGGTCCTTTGAATGAAAACAGAAAATACTCTAAAGCCTAAAAGTGTAATGTTGATTTTGTGGATCTAGCTACAAATATTTTTATATCCAAAACATGCCGAAAATTGCTGGTCCTTCTTTGGGTCCAGCCCTAATAGCAGACACATGACAAAAATCATGGCTTCATGCCAGATATGTTTTACTTTTGTCACCCAGAAAAAGAGATGACAAAAAAGCCAGACTGTAGTCATCAAGATGAAATGGAGATCTTCTGCAGTCTGGAGACGGTAACAAGCTATTTGCAGACATGCCTCTGTGAAAATTTATGCCTGTGTTTTGGTAGGATCTTAGGACACTTCCTTCATCAGTCTTAGCCAAGAAATATCTTGTTACAAGAAGACAAGGATGAAACATCCTCTGAAACAATGGGGTAAAGATCCTGAGCACATGTACAAGAAGTGGGAAGCCCGCTCAAAATCTGTTTTAAAGCTCAGGCAGATGAAGCATGCTTGAATTTGGTCACATTCACTTCTACATTACTGATTTATCCTGAAAGGTACCAGCTCCAAAAGAATCACCGTTAATTCTTCAATTTCCTTCACACCAAACACAGATATGCCTTTCTCAGACATTTATCTCTAAGGGAGACTGTGAGCTCTGAATCCTGAGGAGAACATCTCAATACTCAGAAACTTAAAAGGAAGAACTTTTATGTCCTAATAATGAGTACTTCCCACTGACTAATTTAAGCAGTCTCTAGTTTGTTTTGATTGCTTCTCTGAATTCCATATCTACAACAGAAATTGTTCCAGCTCAAGGTCTAGGAGCTTGCCTTTAGTAGGCATGAGGGTATCACTGACTTCCAAAGAAGCAGGCACTGCAATGCTGAGTATGATGTCTGCAATGTTTTTACAGAGAAAGCTTGACCAGCAATGAAGTACTTCTATAACATCCCAGATCAGACAGCTACACTGGCTCATGATGAGTAGGCCTCTTCCAATCATGTACCTGTGGGCTCTGACAGCAACATGCTACAACTTCAGATTCTGAACCCAATGTCATATTAACAATGCATTTCTTTTTATGGGATAAGAGAAAGGGAACCCTTTTGAAGATTTTAACCAATGGATTAAGATGGAATATTTTCCTACAACATCAGTCCAAATATGAAAAATCATCCATTGGATGATATATGGCCCTGGTCTCCAAACCTATTTAGTCCTTAGATGCCCTATTGAGACTGATAAATTGTATCATTAAATGCACTCTTGAACCAGTTACATTTAACTTCAGAGAAAATTGGATTGCAATCTCAGCACCAACTGAGGTGATAGATTCTTCAAGATAGATATTTACCTTTTAGTGTACCATTCAATGGATACCAAATTCAAGTCAAACAGTCCAGGTAACACATCTTGTTATTATCAACCTGTGCTTAATTTGGAGTAAAAATGTGCCTAGTTTTTAAAAGTTTTACATCCTATCAGCAATATCCCAAGCCTTTTAAATATATTTTCATTTTCATTTAATAGGAGTTGAACTAAAGTTTTGTGTTTCGGCATAGCAATCTTCAAGTCTGGGAAGATTTATATTATAAATTCTACCTGTTTCATTCTTGTCTTGTTACTAGTTAAATAAATAATTTTTTTCAGAAGATTCAAGGGTAGACCTCATTTTAGGTCTTTTCATTGGCACAATGTAGTATGTTCTTACATCTTGTCATTATTTCTCCATGAATTTCCCTTATATATTCATATTTCTAAACACCATTTCTCTGCAGGCATACATGTAATTCACACAAACTTTAATAAGAGACCCATATACAGGGCAAGGATACAAATAATATCGTTACAGTAATTTTATCAGTTTGATATGACTTGTTTCTGCTTTTCTAGATAATACTTAATTCTTGCAAAGAGCAAACATTTCAGCAAGTTTTATAAATTGAATTTCTGATTCAGTAATTTTCTTAAAGCACAATACTCGTGGTTGGTAGGCAGAAATAATGACAGAACCCATACCACAGACATACTAGTTTACTCTGAATATACGTTGCAAAAAATTTGCCATCTATAGGGAAGCATCTGACCAACCTTTTATCATGGAAGATTCCACTTCACCTAAACAAAGAGAAAAAAAACAAAAACAAAACAAATGGCAGATAAGAGGCTTCATAATAGAACCAAGCCAAAGCAAAATACATATGCACAATACATTATTTCTCCTATTGATTAATTATCACTTTTAAATGCATTTTATTCCTTCTATGCTGAAAGGCAAGTATTCTATTCTGAGTTTGGATTTTCACAGAATCTGTCTCTTATCATAGAAGGTTTCTGGGTCTGGGACAGGTAAATTCAGTGTGCAGTAGTAACCAAAGAAACTCCCAAATCTGTATTTGTGCTTCTGAATATAAATTTGTGATGATGTGTCTACAATTTGCTTGAATGTATGCATGAACTCATGTTGTAAGGAAAGGTCCAGTGGTTCATTCTAAACTCCAGATTATAAAATGAATGCACAGGATAGCAAGGTTGTAAATGTAACAGCACTTCTAGTGAAATCCATGGCAAAAGAGACCCAGTTTCAGAGGAACAATGAGCTGTCAATTTTAATTTGAAGGATTCACTCTGGAAAATGAAGCTTTCTTTTAAAGGATACAATGCAGTAAGTTGTTTTCTGCCATTTCACACTACAGGTAGACATAGGTGAAATGCCACCTGGCTAATGGAACTGAAGTTTCCAAGCACTCAGTAAGCATTCAGATCTTGAGTATTTTTATCTCAGTTATTTTATGACCTTTCCTACTTCCTTTAACACGTACACACTCATGTACTTGAACACTCTAAAAGGGAGAAACACCATCCAGAGGGACCTGGACATACTCGAAAAGTGGGCACATGAAAATCTAATGAGTTTTAACAAGACCAAGTGCGAGGTGTCGCACTTGGGTCACAGCAATCTCAGATACAAGTACAGACTGGGAGAAAAACTCATCGAGAGCAGTCCTGTGGAGAAGGACTTGGGGGTCCTGATGGATGAAAACCTGGACATGAACCAGCAGTGTGCTGTTGCAGCCCTGAAGGCCAACAGTATCCTGGGCTGCATCAAAAGAGGGGTGGCCAGCATGGCAAGAGAGGTGATTGTTCCCCACCACTCCACCCTTGTGAGGTCCTATCTGGAGTACTGTGTCCAGGCCCAGGGTCCCAAGCAGAAGAAGGATGCAGAGTTGTTGGAGTGAATCCAGAGGATGACCAAAGGGCTGGAGCAACCCCTCTATCAAGAAAGGTTGAGCAAGTTGGGCTTGTTTATCTTGGAGAAGACTGTGCAGCAACTTCATAGTGGACTTCCAGTACTTGAAGGGAACTTACTATCAGGAAGAGGAGCAGATTTTCACACAGTCTGATAGTGGCAGGACAAGGGGGAATGGCTTTAAACTAAAAGAGGAGAGGTTCAGATTAGATGTCAAGACGAAATTTTTTACTCAGAATGTGGTTAGGCACTGGAACAGGTTTCCCAGAAAGGTTATGGATGCCACATCTCTGGAGGCATTCAAGGCCTGGTTGGATGGGATCCTGGGCAGCGTGATCCAGTAGGTGCAATCCTGCCCATGGCAGGGAGGTTAGGACTGGATGATCTTTAACTCCTCCAACTTAAGCCAGTCTATGATTTTATGACATCATTCTATGAACACAAAATGGTAAAAATGAAAAGTTTTGAAATTTTATCATGCTCTCAATATCACATATTTTCTGTTTCTCAAGCATATGAGGGGATGGCTTTCTGTAGATCATATCTGAGAATAGGATATCCTGTTCACAAACTCGCATGTAGCAGCTTATCTATTATTATTCATATGTGGTACCAGTATATAAAGTTCATCCACACATTTAAACGTATGAATTTGATAATATCTCAAGCTTATGAACAAACAGGTAGAAGTCAGTTTCAGTTCACATTCTGGGGTAGATAAATTGAATACAAAATAAATTATTTTGAAATGAAAATGTCATTCCTACACTCATCACTTCTCAATATGACCAATGCAATGTGGCATAAAAATCCACAACTGCTCTGCTCACACAATAGAACTATACATTTTTTTAATAGCAGAAAGATAATTATTTCCAAGTTTGTTATGTTAACAGTTTACTTTCATTTATCAGATGATGTCAAAGAAGAAAATTACTGTAATGATAACATCAAAAATTTTAGTAAAGTGCATTATTTGTAAATTGCCATCCAACCTACCCTTAGTCTAGTCAAAATTATTTTTTTTCTTACATTTTTCTTTTAACAATATATTATTCTGTCATTAGTATATAGAAACTAAATATATAGGTTTCTTGGTCTACCTTATATTTTCAGAGGCTAATTGTAGATTTTTACTGATTAAAAGAAAATAGCTGTTGCCATGCTCTGAAGTGATATTCCGATGCATATTTTTTATTGTGATTTTGAAGTCTTGTATAAATTAGCACTCTCTACTTCAAGATGTACTAATGGTAATATTTAATTCTGACAGCTTTTCTGTAATGGTACATTAAACATGAAATGAAAGCTAACAAAGAGATGAATTTACTCATTGAAATAGCCAGTAGATACTTTATTAGCAACAACATTCACTTTTTATTTTGTTTGACCTTTCTGACTAAGAGGTTAAAGCTGAGTAAGCCAACATAATGCATGCAAAACAGCAATTAGTGCAGTTACAGAAATCTACATTATGAATACCTTCATCACTGTCATCATCGTCACTCCATATGATGTCAGACAGTAAAGAAATAAAGCCATAAAGCCAGTCAGTCGATTCTTCCAATGTCTCATGAATGATTCTCAGTGGTTCTGTGCTAAGCTTGTTAACAGATCTTCCTGAGTGCAGAGTTTAAAAAAAAAAAAACAACAGAAAAAGATTTGGTGTTTAAGGTTAATCTACATTTTATAGAGAACTAATTATACAACCTTCTTTAACAGAAACAATGATTTTTACTTCTAATTTTCATTATTCAAATGTTTGAGGACAGCTTTCCTTCCTGTGCATGTAAATTGTCCTTGCAGTTCGCAAAGTGATTCATAGCCCAGTGGACAATTTGGTCTGATAGTGCTCTCCCAGTCCTGGCTCTTCTTCTGAGGCTTTGTTGGGTTCAGAAGAAATATAGATTTGATTCTACCCCATATTTATCCTTCTAGATAATTTCTTCCTTTCAGTCCAGTTTATTTCTCTGACCCAGGTCCCCTGCCTCTTGATGTCTATTTAGTATTCACTACTGTTGGTTTCCCAGTCCTATGTCACATCTATCTTCAAGGTTATTCTGGTTACACTCAAACACATAAACCCACAAATTTGTTTCTCTTACATTTTTTCAGGAGTTTCATTCACATACATGTGTGAGTATTTAACTAGTTGTTGCCTTCTTGCTCCTGTATGTCAACAAACAAGGAAGTTGCAACATTCCATGTGCTCCATCTTCCTGGTTACTGCTATGGAAGAAAGGCCCCTGCCCTCCACATATCTTCACTTGAGGGTGAACAATCACTAGTGATTAATACAAGTATTCCTTTAAAGGTTTTTCCAGTTATGATGTCACCAAATTTCTCCATACCCTGTTTATGCTGACATAGTATTTCATGAGAAATCTCCAGCCTTCGATAGAACATTTTATCCATCCTTTCCATTCACCAAGCTTTTATTCTCTTGAAATCTGTACCAAATACTGCTTAGGAAGAGAGACAGCTGTCATTCATTCTACGTTACTACCCATTATAATTGAAATAGTAGACTGTCCTATGTATGCAAAGGTTTCACAGAAGTTTAAACAATCGAAGGTAAATCACAAATTCAATTTAATTCATTGGCCTAGTCTTGTTTCTAGTAGTTTGAATAGAAATGCATACAATCAACAGTATAAAGACGGGAACCACATCTCTGTTTACCACTCTTTTTTTGTATGCAAATACTTTTAAAAGAAAGTAAATGTGAACTTCTTCACAACTACTTCTGGCTGCAGAGCTCTGACTCACAAGACAAATCTTAGCAGTAATCAACAGTCTCACGTGAACTTGCAGGTTACAAAGACAGGCAAAGTGCAGGCTTGAAGCAATTTCTTTTATGGCAGCAGCATGAACAGTTATTTTCTAGAAGTGCTGTAACAAAACGTATGAGTAAATTTATTTGAAATATAAATACAACAATGAATAACTCCTTTTACATCCTAGTAATTTTAAGTATAAAATTTTATTTAAAAATTATTATTATTTCAAATCTGCTTATTGATAATGTAGATTGAATAAATATTTTGGTTAGTGTATGGTGTTTTTTGCTTCCTGGAAATTGTATTATATAGATATATGCTACTGAACAATCAGGCACATCAGATAACTTAGTCATGCACACTGCTGAAATGACAACATTGTAAAGAAATATTAATGAATTCTTCTTCTAATGTACTGTTTTGTGCTAACATTTTCAACCAATTAAATAATTCAGAAAGATTTTGAGTAGTATACCAGGATGTATTGACTTTTTTTATTATAAGTCATCTATTTATTTGAATTGTACTCACATACTGAGGTCCAGAGATTTTAATTTTTCAACAGATTTGCCACAAATGACTTTCTCTGTTGTTTACAAGGAGAACTATATCTGTATTATATAAATATATACACTTATATTCAGACTATAAAAATAAATCTGTAACCTGACCCTTGGTGCCATTTGCATTTACTCTAATATAGAGATGCTAAGGTGTGTAAGCAGACACGCAGAATTACATGGCCAGAGGGGTCTCAGCATAACTAAGCTTTAGATTCACAAGTAAGGGTGGTTAAACATCATACAGCTGTCCTAGTTTCTATTCTCATTTTCTGCCCACCCTGTACCCACTGGTTGCTTAGGGATGGCTCAGTTGTTTCTACAGCCACAGAAATTAACAGCCACAGGGACCACATCTATAAACAAAACAAAAATTCTTGCCAATGTATTTTAATATTTCAGGCTATATATTAGCAGTTCAAGAGCTGCTTCACAGGTAGGAGAGCTGTCCCCGCAGGCAGGCATAGGAACTGTTCAGAGAAGAGCAAGATCTAAAAAGCAGAGGAAATCACTGCAACCACCCCAAGGCAAGCCGTCTTAACTGATGAATTAGAGCCCTCAACGTCATATCCTGGTCTTTAATTCATAACATCTTTATAGCAAACTGTGAAAAAGGGATTAGAAATCATAAGTGTCCAGAGGCTAATTTCTCTGGTAACAACTACACTAACAGGCCTGAGCTGCAAATCCTGTTTAAAATAGAAAATTCAGAAAAAAATCAACTTGGGGCTTTGTAGATGAAACCTCAGTGGTATTTGAAAAATTAAACTTGCAAAATTAAACAGATCCATTTGCAGTGTGATATAAGTGACAAAGACTGGGAAAGTTTACTTGTGCACAGATCTTCTATTTAATTTTTTTAAATATGTCCTGAATTTTTAACATATTGGGCTAAGAGTAATGATTCATCCTAAAATGCTTACGAACACCACACCAGATAATCCTGAATGAAAAGAAATACTGATCAAAACCATGCTTTTAGCTTTCCCCACAACTTTGTCAATAGGATGTTGTTCTTTCTCTAGCAGAACAAAACACACATGAAGCAAAGGAAAGAAGGCAATTTGAGGAGAAAAAAGCAAAAGGATGCCATTTAGCTCACGCACATGCAAAGAAAGCCATTTTCAGAGGATTTTCATACTTCTGTATGAAGAGTATAGCTGAGAAATACAGATTTTCAAGACAAAATTTAAGCTTGACATTTCCTTGCAATTCAGATTTTTAAAAATTAAATTATTCTTTCTTTACAAATGTCCAGTAATGCTACAGCTTGATGATTTTTGTTTTGGATAGTCTTGCATTCAACACATTCAGATTGGATTGTCTTTTGCATAATTCTGTCTGGTTTTTCATTTCTTGTCAGACACTGGAATACAAAGTGTTTATAATGCTAAGCTAAATATACTTCTCTTATTAGCATGTGGTATATAACATATAATACATAATATGTAATTTGTAATTAATCTATAATCATAATGTGTATTTATAATCATGAATGAATGATATTTATAATCATGAATTAATGAATGTATATATAGATATGTATTTTACTTTGTGTCTGTTGTGTGAGACTGCTGTGAGCAGCAGAAGCAGGATCCTGAAAATAAATTGTAAAGAGGCTTTATGAAGACAGCATAGTTCTCAAGTAGATCCAGGCTATGAAGTTCTACTGTTAGTAGAACTGGTAAGTAAAGACTGAGGCAATTGTTCCTCTTAGATTATGTAGCAGAAAAATACAAAATGTTGATTGAGAATAGAGGAGGGAGGAAAGAGGAGGAAGGAAGAAAACTAAACAGATTAAACTGAGGGATGAGATGTACAATTAACACTGAAGGTCTTTTGTTAACATTATGTCATTTCATTTAATCACAGCTTAAATTCCGATCATCCTATCTAGTCAAATGTACTGAAAGCCAGGTGTTGAGTCCCTGGTGAATCTGGACTCCCTCAAAAGCCAACTCAGAAAGCTATTTTGACCTTCAGAAAAGAAAAATTGTCACCTCCATCTCACATCTTTTTAGAATGATATGAATTAATTTCCAAAAATGCTCTTCCTTTTCTCTTGACTATAAGGGAAGGAAAAACAAAACAAAACAAAACAAAACAAAACAAAACAAAACAAAACATGAGCATAACATATATTTTTTTAGATCACTAAAAAAGCATGACATGGATCCTATCAGAAATGTTGTTTCATATTTAATTTTTTTCTTGTTACTATACACTTTAACTAAGCACTTACATTTGTAATTAATTTATATTCGTTATTAATTTCAGATCAATACTACTATTCACACCAAACAGTATGCATACTACCAACAGTGCTCTCCAATAACATTTTGTTTTGTTGTGCCCTTTTACTACTTTTATTGCTATAAGGAATGCTCTTTAAATCAGTAAAGATTCAGCTCTGCTTGTGTTATCATTTTTACTGGATTTTTTTTGGTGGCATGTTTTATTTTCCTAGTGGGACATTCAAATTTTTAGTTCCAGAATGCTTCAGAAAATGCTTAAATTTGGAAGAATTATAGCTGACGCTATGAATCATAGTAAAATTGAAGGATTTTATACATTACTTTTCAAAACCTTATCATAGGAAAACTCAACTGAATTTCCTAGGAGAGTATTTTTACCTCTTTTATGTATCTGCAAGGAAATTTGGAGTCTTGTTTGAATTTTCTTTACAAAATGTACACAAAGGTGGTAAAATAATTTTCAAATATCCGTTTGTTTTATGTAAATGTTTCTGGAACCTCTCTATGTATTTTGAAGCTGGTTTTCATGCTCATTAGATCTAAATTAAATTGCTATAATCCTTTGAAGCTCTCCAGCATTACTGCTGCAGAAACAATAATTTGGTTAAAAAGATGAGCACAAGAATTCCAAGCAATTGATTTATCCCACTCTAAATTCTCCTTGACTCACAATTTCTACTCCAGTTGATTTGGAAATAGTTGTTGTTCCTTTAAAGTAAATTAATATCTCACCTTTCACTAGGTTCTTTGAAATCAAGAAATGATGATTTTCATAAGTAAAAGACAAAGTAATTTCAACTGCAGTAAAATTGTGCTGTTTGAAAGCAAAAGAAAACATTTTTTTGTTTGTTTTTAATTGGAACTGAGAGTAAGTCCTGTAACAGCAGCTTTTCAAAATGGTAATTGGTTAATCACATACTATGATTCGTTGCAGTACCTCAAGCAAATTTGCTTATATTTCAAAATCTGTGTCATTTAGTCATGTGAATTTCACAACAAAAAGTGGCTAATTGATTTATTTGTGC